TAACTTTGATAATCTGACCGATAACCGGTTTTTCCCACCTTTTTTGACAATAATAAATCCACTACTTAAACTACTCAAACACCACAATTAAACAACAGGTGGACCACTTTACTGGTAATGGAAACTCGGCCCCGGTGTCCGAGCCAAAAGTTCAAGAGCACCACTTTGCGGCAAACCCTCCCTCGCCGATATACGCCAATCAGCCCTTTCACCAGGAGTCTGCTCCGCCGCCTGTTCCGCCGCATGCAACGACGGCCTCTTTAAGGAATGATGACCATCACCACGAGCAGTCTCAGCATAACTTCCACAGCAGCACTCCGACTCAGCACAACCACGACAATGACCACCACACTGGTCCTTCTTCGTACAGCAACGATTCCTACCACGCAACGCCTACCTCCTCCTACAGCAGTCCTTCTCATAATGACCACTCCTATCACAATAGCTCCTACCACGCCCCATCTACCTCACATAATGACCACAGTAGTAGCTCCCACCATAATGATGATTCGCACAACAGCCACGATTCCTACGGTGGTTATGATTGAGTTTTTTGTTTTCGGTTTTTAAAACTGCACATTTTGTTTGTCAATTGCTTTGTTACCACAGCTCATACCATGTCAAAAAAAGTTGATTTAATTAACTTATTTCCTACGTTGTCAATCAACTCCCAAAGAGCAGTAATATTACACAAATACGGGTTTTAGTTAATCCTTTTGCCCATTGATTTTTTGCCAGTTTGCACAGTAGTAAGGCCGTTTTTCTTTCTTTCACTATCAGCATCAATGCCAGACAGAAAGCAGTGCGCAACTGAGGGAGGTTATTTTCCTTTACTCTTATCAGCAGCAATGCAATCAGAAGAAGAAAAAGAAGCACCGAGCAATGTTTTGAGATTGAGAAGAGTGAAAGTCAACAAACTCTCCTCTTCTTCTACTACAACTTCTCCAGCTAGCAAANAGCAGCAATGCAATCAGAAGAAGAAAAAGAAGCACCGAGCAATGTTTTGAGATTGAGAAGAGTGAAAGTCAACAAACTCTCCTCTTCTTCTACTACAACTTCTCCAGCTAGCAAACAATCACTCTGAAGCCTACTGCATCGTGTACGACTGCTGCTGTACGACAACAGCAGCATTGCTACCAGTGTCACACATCGACACACAAACACACAGGATACCGTTAAACACAAAAGGGGAAACATCTCACGTCAAGAGAAGTGCTGGGGAGAAGAGGAAGCCATCCAAAGGAACAGCAACAACGTAGCAGTACCACTTGAACCATCACCCTCACTTCCGAATGTTGCCCAGGCAAATATTGACTAAAGTGTCGCTGCTGCGGCAAATGTTCTCCCTGCTACTGCTGGTGGCGCCATTTCTATTGTTGGTAACATTTCTTGAAAGCACTACCAGCCATGCTCTGCCCCTTCTGACCGGTTCTGGCTCGTCACTTCCGAGCAGTATCGCCAATCGTCGAATCGTCGGCGGCGCCTTCAGCCGCGTCGAGGACTCGCTCTTTCAGGTGTCTGTGCAGACAAGGACCGGAGGGCACTTCTGCGGCGGGGCCGTCGTCTCCAAGGACTACGTGGTCACGGCGGCGCACTGTCTGCTTGAGTAAGTGTCGGGAATCATTTTGCTTTTTGGATTCAATCTAACTCATTAATTCAGAGCGTCAGCCGCTGATCTGCAGATCCGCTACAACAGCCTTTACCACGCCAAGGGCGGTCACCTGGCCCTGGTGGCGCGCATTCTAGTGCACCAGCAATTTGACAACCTGACCAATGACAATGACATTGCCCTGCTGCAGACAACCAGTCCTATGCTGCCTGTGGCGCCCCTTTCTGCGGTCAGGCTGCCGAATCCCACCTCAGTGGACGTGCCAGCTGATGACCAGCTGATCACGGTTTTTGGCTGGGGAGCACTGGAGGAGAATGGCACTGCTCTATCGGCACAGCTGAAAAGTGTCACCGTCTCGGTGACCTCCACAAAGACCTGCACCTCCATCTACGGCGATGCAATCACAGAAAATATGTTCTGCGGAGGTGAGCCGAATGGAAAGGTCGATGCTTGCCAAGGTGAGGCAATATTTTAAAATCTGCAAATGAGCTAAAATTTTTNAGCTGAAAAGTGTCACCGTCTCGGTGACTTCCACAAAGACCTGCACCTCCATCTACGGTGATGCTATCACTGAAAATATGTTCTGCGGAGGTGAGCCGAATGGAAAGGTCGATGCTTGCCAAGGTGAAACAATATTTTAAAATCTGCAAATGAGCTAAAACTTTGTATTGGTTTTGCAGGCGACAGCGGATCACCAGCCGTCTCTGAGAAGGAGCCCCAGCTGCTGCTGGGTCTAGTCTCATGGGGTTATGGGTGTGCAAGGCCAATGTACCCCGGCGTGTACACGAGGGTGGCCAATTACGTCGAGTGGATGCTCGAGAATGGAGTGGTCTTTAGCTATTAAATTGATTGAGTTGACGCCTATGCAAATGTATCATATTGCTGTGGTTGAGCAAAACAGGAGCAATATCGAGNGCTGCTGCTAGGTCTAGTCTCATGGGGTTATGGGTGTGCAAGGCCAATGTACCCCGGCGTGTACACGAGGGTGGCCAATTACGTCGAGTGGATGCTGGAGAATGGAGTGGTCTTTAACTATTAAATTGATTGAGTTGACGCCTATGCAAATGTATCATTTTAATGTGGTTGAGCAAAACAGGAGCAATATCGACAGTAACGGAAAACACAAACACAGCGATGCACTAGAGCAAAACAAGGCTGTCTTTTAGTGGAAGAAAACTTGTTTTGGCGGTGGTGGCGGTGATGGAGGAATGACAAAACTGAGGGAGAGCAGTGATGAGGTGATCAGCGAGAAAGGAGAAGGGAAATCACAGAGTAGTGAAAGCTGTTGGTAAAAATAGATCACTGTCTGCAGTCACTGCAGTCTTTCTCTCTCCTAACAACTTTTACTAGCTGTGACGGACTACGACTTATCATCGCTTATAATCAAATTGGACAAAAACTGTTGCGGTAATGCACTGGCTGTTGTTTTCCTCTCCAGTTTAATATTCCACCGATAATAACGAGGCTATAATTTAAAATAATTTGAGAAATATGCGACTAGGAAAGATTGATGCTGTTGTAGTCAGTAAGAAGTAAACGATGTCCTAATCGGCCAGTTTTTTGCGCCATCGAATTAAAGTTTATTTTTGTAATGCACTCCGGAAGCTCGGCGGCGATCATTGTCATCAGCGCCGCGAGTCGATTGTCATTTCACGGCTCCCATAATTGATGTTGCAGGTAGGCAACAATGGCCGGTGGGAAATTGATAAAGTACTGACAATGCATCCGTACGCTGCGTGACTGATGCGGAAATGACAGCAAAGGCATCCAGACACTTATAGGTAATATTAAATTATCGCTAACACTTTCTTTTTCTCACACAAATCTCCATATTAGCATAACCCAAAATACAGCATTAGTACTCTAATCGATTATTATTCCATCAACAACATCGTTTTAACTTTACCTCATCTTCTCCCCCACCCAAACCGATTAATCAATACACACAAACCACAAAAGCTACTACGGGTAATTTTAATTTGTTGACGGTTAATTAATAAAATAAGAAAGGCAAATTTTACATACAGCGTTCAACAACAACAAAATGCCCACCGATTGACGAGGCTTCTAGCCTCTACTTTGTACGTCACCTTACTTTACCTTACCTTCCTTACTCCCATACTATAAATATACCGCTGCATAAATATTTATAGTCCGCGTGGAAAAGATAATAAATTTTTTGCTAGTAAAAACTACAATAATATAATCGCGGAAATCTAGAAGCAGCAGCAGTGCTAGTTTCTCTACGCACGTAGTACTTACTCTCACTTTTGGTCACTGTAGCACAAGTGAGAGAGAGAAATCAGTGCGCGCTTGATCGGTTTCAGGGCTTCTTTTTGACGCAGAAAAGACGGCACAAATTACCGAAGGAGAGAGAGAAAGTGCTGCCCGTGTTTTCCAGCACTCGCAACTGCCGTAGTCTTGTTCAGCACTCACTTGGGTGTTCTCCTTCCCGAGTATAAAACTGAACATTATGTAGTGCGACAAACTATTTTGCCACCTGTTGATCTGCCTCCATGTCGTTCTGTGCCAAAAAACACTGTCTTGCGCTCAGTGAGCTTTCTTCACTTTTTATCTTTGCGTGACTCTGTGATCATCATAAACTCGCACACCTCATCACTCCATCCACTTCACCATGAAACTCCTGTACATCTTCATCAGCATCGGCACGCTCCTACTGCTCAGCCACCTTGATCATCAGAACTCCTCAAATGCCTACAAGTCGATAAAGAAGTTGATGAAAGACAAAGACGTTGTAAAGTACTACATGTACCTGAAGGCAATCAAGGGAAAGAAAAAGTACGTTCCAGTGCCCATACCCATCTTTGTGTTGCCCATTGTGGCAAAAATTGTCAAGAAGAAGTTGAACAAGGAATCGGAGTTTTACCTCGTCAAACCGCACATCAAGACGAGAGAGTTTGTAAAGAAGTACATTAAAATCAACGGCGGCTACCACTCGCTGTACTACTGATTTTCTGTAGTGTTTTGTTGTGCGTGTGCTTTATTGTCAAAACGTAGTGTTTGCACGCAAAAGCTGTAAATAACAAATCCAATATTAGCTAGTCTTTCACAAATGATACTTTTGGGTACTCCTGTGCGGTGTTGTAAATAAAATTAATAAAATCAAATATAACCTGAAAATACTTCTGAAAAATAAAAACCAAACAACGACTTCACCTGTGTCATCACACTGCACTACATGACTGAGCAACAGGCTTTGGGCTTTGAACGGCCTGCATTCGACCCGTTATTGTTTCCTGCCGATCGCTTTCCACTTTTGCTCTTTTTCTCCTTCTTCGCCGATGACCTCTTCTTCAAGCCCATTTTAGTGCTGCTGCTATTGCCGTTGTTGTTCTTTGAGCTGCCATTTTTGGCAGCAGAAGCTGGCGGCGCTGGGTTTACCGGTGCAGCCGTTGCTGACGGCTTTGGCGTTTCCGGCTTTTGAGCTTCCGAATCAGTTTTGCCGGCAGCCGGCTCAGGCACCTCTTCCACCACTTTTGACGTTTCAGTTTGCTGATCAGTGACCACTTTCACCTCAACTTTCGGCTCAGAGAATGTCCCGTATTGGTTGTCAGAAGCAGCAGCAGTGCTTTTCTCTGCACCCTCACCAGTCTTCAGCAGGGTCGTCTTTTCCTTTGCTTTCTCAGCTGACTCAACAACTTCAGTGTTGTTCACTTTGATGTCCTCCTTTGCGTCAGTTTCGATGCTGGAAGCTGCTGCTGCAGTTGATGGCGGCGACGGCGATGGTGATGGCGGTGATGGTGGTGGTGAATCGACATCAGCAGATTTAGTAGTAAACTCCTCGGTCTCAGCAAGCGGAGCAGCACCAGCTGCAGACGCTGAAACGGGTGAAAAGTCGGCTCGAGGTAGAATGGGTGAGCAGATGACTGGCAGGGCTAGCGATGGATTCTCATTCAAAATGGTCGAATCTGATTTGGTGATGGTTGATGGCGGTGGATCGGTGGTGGCAGTAGCAGTAGTGGTGTCACCATTAGGCAGCGATTCAGTTGGCAAACTGATGATGCCGTTGCTCTCAGGTAATTTTGACTTCTCAGCTGAAACATCTTCCATCTTAGGTTCAGGTATATCTGCTTCAGCAGCAGCATTATCGTCACGTTTTTCTTCGACTTTAAGTTCTCCATTTGCAGTGATTTCCGCTGCTTTATCTTTCGTCACTTCAACATCAGCTGATTTGTTGTTGTCCTCATGATGCTGTTCAGCAGTGTCATCAGCGCTGTTTTCAGAAGCTTGGATGGGCGATTCGCCAGTTTCCTCAGCTGCTTCAATCGACTGATCATCAGCAACGGAAACAATGCCCTCACTTGGAAGTGGATCAACTAGTTGGACAAACTTGGGAGTGCTCGTTGGGGCAGTGTGCACCTCAGCACCTGCAGCTTCAGCGTACGATTTAGGGACTGTTGCTTCCGAAAGATCAGCCGGCTGACTTTCAATGACTGTTTCCGCCTCTGTCTCATGTTTGTCGTCATCTTTTGACTGAACTTCTTCAGCACTTGAAGCTGGTTTGACTAGATCAGCTGCTGATTTGCCTGTGACTGGCATTGGAATGGTTTCAACTGGCTCCTCTACTTTCGGCTCAATTGAAGTCGCTGACTCTTGTTCAGCTGACTTTTCAATAACAGCAACATCTTCTTTTTGAGCATCAGCAGCTGTTTCCGCATTTACCTTAAGAGTGTCAGCAAAGTGACTACCGTAGTATTTCAAACTGAGCAACTTTTCCTTCTCGGCCAGTACATCAATCACTCCTGGCTCCTTTTCAGCGCCTTTTTTCTCTGGTTCGCCCTTTAGAGCGCCAATAATCTCCTTCATTTTAAGCTTTTCCGGCGTGCCACGAGGCTGACTGTTTGAGCGGCGGTTGCGATTGCGACGGCCAGAGCTGCGCTTCGAAGAGTTTCGACGAATGGGCGTCTTAACCTGGAGAGAGTTCTTTGGAGCTAGTCCCTTCAACAGGTGCTGATAGGGCTGCAGTAGGCTGACGAGGTTCTGAAGTGCAGAAAAAGGTAGGTAAATAACATCTTTTCAAGACTTGCATCACTATCTCTTACCTCATCATCGGCGCCATCAGCAGCAGAGTTCTTAATCACAAAGACGGCGATCACCTTCACAAAGGTTTCCATTGCCGCCAATTCATCTCGGTAGACCGTCAACAGGCTCTCCCTCACCTCAATTGCTCGCTGACTAGCGGCGGCGGCTGCGACTGCTGCGGCATTTGGATTGGATTGATTTCGGTTGCTGTTGTTTCGATTGTTCTTACCACCACCACCACCACCACCGCCTGTAGCCCTTCGACTGAGGCTCTTTCTCTTCTCGGCGGTGATGGACTCCTGTGTTTCGCGAATCTTTCCCTTCAGCTCGTCAATAGGACTGGAGAGATGCTGCAGCCACTGGCGGTACACGGCGAGCTCAGACATCTCTGATGAACTTTTGTTGTTGTTGTTGTTGTTGTTGATGTTGTTGTTGCTGCTGCTGCTGCTGCTGTCGACGGTCACCTCCACGGGTGAATCGGTTGAGCTGGCCATTCTTCGATGAGGTAGATGGTAGAAGGCGAAGGATTTTGATGCCAAGAAATGTTGCAGAGAAGTGTGGAGTTGTCGTGCTCTGGAGTTTGCAGCCGCAGCGACCTGTGATAGCGCTGATCAGCGGCGGCGGCGGCGGTGTTTGTCGTTGGTGTTGGCGGTGGCGGTGGCGTCGGCGGCAGAGTCGGCGTCGATGTTATTGGTTAATCCTCACTTGCTGAGTGTCGGCATGCCCGCATGTGTGGGGCGAACGGAGGCAGACAGAGACAGAGACAGGGAGACAGAAAGACAAGCGTGCAATGGCAATGGCGCAAGAAGAGAGGGAGAGAGCGAGAGAGAGAGTGTGTGCGGCAAGACAGCAACCACCTGGTCTCCAGGGTGAACTAATGCACCGGCAGTAGCAGCAGTGGCAATCGTGCCTGCACTCCTCTTTCTATTTCTCTCTCTCTCTCTCCTTTGTAGTGGGTAAATAGACGGTATCAATCGGTAGAGGAGATACTACCACAGAAGTCTACAGTAGAGCCACCACCAGCACCAGTGAATGGAGGTAAGCAGCCAGTGCAGAGCTGCTAAACTGAGCTGCAGTTTGTCGTACAGAGCGGAGTGTCGAAGTGCTGCTCTCTGACCACACCTCAGAAAGAAGAGAGCTCTTCACTGGGCGATGCAGTGTTTGCTGGCCCTTTTTGTGTACTACTCGATCGTCAGGAGAATAATAAAGAGAAAGAAACCGATGAGTAAGAGGCTACTGCAGCTCAACAGTTGGTTGCTTGAAGATCCCTTTGACTGACACACGAGGAGGCACACTGACTGACTTTCACAGATGCTTTAGTGCTGGTGGTGTTGGTGAGAATGATGAGTGGCATGACTGTAGGTGGTGGTGGTGGTGGTGGTGATGGTGAGCCAGCAGAAAACAAACAGATGGCCTTTTAGGGGAGAAACAGTGCCGCACAAAACACTACAGACTGATTACAGTGCACTGTGCTGCAATGCAGATTGGATGGCAAAGGGAAAGAGAAAGGAGAGAGGGAAAGGGAATATGAGAGGGACGGAGGGAGAACATGACATTCCGTTCTCTTGAAGTTGTTGTCTACTATGACTGCCTGTCTGCCCGTCTGCGCGGGATGCTTTGGGTAATTGTAATCATTACAGTAGTGATCATTGCTAAACACTGCTGCTGCTGCATCTACTATTGTGGCTTTGTTTCTGGTGAACACACTGGGCAATCACTGCAAATCGAATTCCATGAAAGCAGTGGCTAAAAAGATAGGGCATAAACAACTCTAACTTGNGATGCTTTGGGTAATTGTAATCATTACAGTAGTGATCATTGCTAAACACTGCTGCTGCTGCCGCTACTACTGTGGCTTTGTTTCTGGTGAACACACTGGGCAATCACTGCAAATCGAATTCCATGAAAGCAGTGGCTAAAAAGATAGAGCATAACAGCTCTAATTTAATTGAGAAAAACAGTTTAGTGGTAAAAATCGAATAAAGGTTTTGCATTGAAGCTGCCACGTAGCTAACATAGCAGTCCTTGTTCAATAGTTCCAATTTTAGGCAAATAAATTCAGTTCGTACTGACACATCTCTTCTCTTTATACAGCACAGAACACTGACTAGAGGCTTCACTCACTTATTGCACACCCTTTCTCTCAATTGCAATTCAACGTCAACCGGGTGTTCAAGAAGATGCCGTACGCCACCCCGAAGATGGTCAAGTACATGAAGGAGAAAGGGCTGACCAGCAGCACCGGCAGCGATTCAGGCGGCGGCGGCGGCGGCAGCAGCAGCGCCTCCTCCAGCAGCGCCAATGACGTCGTCTCCAGTGTCGAGGATAAGAAGAAGAAGGTTCGCGAGCTGCCCAGCTCAGTGGACCCCGCAGACGATGACGACGTCAGTCCGAAGTCGTCGAGCAGCGGCGACAGCAAAACAAAAGCTGCCAAAAAGAAGTCCTCTTCCTCTTCAAAGAAGAAGTCCAAGGGCAAGCGGTCCAAATCCAAGTCGAGCACTGGGAAAGGTCGGAAGAAGTCGCTGGTCAAGTCGAGTACCGGAGCGGTCAACAAGAAGTCGCCCCTCTCCGCGAAGAGCAAGTCTTCGAGCAAGGGCAAGTTCAAGATGGTGGCCAACACTGAAATGGCGCTGAAACCGCTGCAGGTGAAGGGCGTCAACTACGGCGAGATGACCTTCGACGAGAAGAAGGTGCAGTTCATGCAGACGCTGCTCAAGGCGAATGTCAGCAAGCTGAAGAGCCTTCCCGCTACTGAGCCCTCCGAGGAGGGGAAGAAGGCTTTCAGCATGTACAACCTTGACGAGAAGAAGCCCCTGGAGACGGGCAAACCGCACTCGGCCAAGGCGCTCTACACCTGCACTCACAAGTCATTTTCTCCGGACATTCAGGTAGTCGCCAAGGTGTACGACGCGGCCACCTACGACCCAAAGAGTTCGCTCTTTCTCAAGGTGCTCCGTCATCTGGGCAAGCTGCATCCTAATGTCATTCAGGTATGTAAAACAGAAGTTTGCAGTTTTCCTTAGTTTCATCTCTCCTTTAGACCTGGGACGTCATCAACAAGGGCGACTCGGTGTACGTGTTTCAAGAGTTGGTAAGTAGACTAGTACGGCACTACTGCAGCAACTTTAGGTCTTTAACAAGATGGATACTTTTTTCAGGCTCCTTATGGCAACTTAGCCGACTACGTGAAGAAGAAGGGCCCGCTGGGGGAGAAGGAGTGCCAGCTGGTGGCCTGTCAGCTGCGCACGGGCATGGATTTTTTGGGCGACATGGGCATCTCTCATCGAGACATTAGCCCTCGTCACCTGCTGCTGGTGCACAAGGACATGCGCGTCAAGCTGACCGGCTTTCGCTCCGCCGTCATCTACTACAATGAGAAGAGCGATGAAATTAACTTTCAGCCCTGTCTGCCGGTGAAGAAGAAGGGCAAGGAGGGCGCCGAGGACTACCACGCTCCTGAGTCGTACGGCAACTCGAAGAAGGAGCAGTTTGACCCGGTGGCGGCCGACGTCTTCTCCGCCGGCGCCACGCTCTACCACCTGCTCACGGGCAAGTTTCCCTTTGACGCCTCGAAAAGCAATCCCAAGGTGGAGAATGAGATCCAGGGCAATGTGCGCGCACTGAAGAAGGTCTCCGACAATGGCAAGAGCGCCCTCGGTTACATGCTCACCACTTTCTCAGACAAGCGTTTCACCGTGGAGCGTCTCAAGGAGCACCCGTGGTTCCATGAGAAGTGAGTAAGCTGGTGAAACCAATCTTCTCCTTTGCCGATCTCTGCACTGTTTATTGCCTCCCGTTTTTTCCGGCGCTCCTACTACTGCAATTACGCATACTTTGGTCTTATTATTAAATTGCTTTTCCAATACTTGTGCAAGTACTTACAAGTTCTAAATGAGTGAACAATACGCTGCAGTAGCCGATTTCTCAATGCCACAACTGATTTTCAGTCAAAAACTAGTGATTTTGTTTCTCTGCGTCAGCTTTGGTAACAAACAACCGCGCTCTTCAAACAACGTTTTTCAAACTTTAAACAAGGCACAGCGATGGGCTGCAACATCAGCAAAGGTAAAGCTGTCTTTTTACTTTATATCAGATAATTTCAATTGATCAACTTAGAGGAGAAAGCACCGTTTGAAGACCAGGATGAGTTGTTTTCTGATGCAGAACCCATTGACGCTCCACCCCCTCCTAGTGGCGAGAGTGGCGAGGATGGAGAGGATGGAGATGACGATGAGGACGGTGATGTGGATGGAGAAGGCAAAGACGACGACGGTGGTGAAGAGGGTGACGACGAGGGAATGGACGATGATGGCGGCGAAAAAGATTTTCCCAGTGAGGACAGTGGCAAAGCAGGCAGCGCTGGCAGTGCTGACAGCGACATGGGCTCTCAGGACGCCCCCAATCAGATGTCCTCGCCGCCGCCAGTCTTAGAGGTTGCCAAGGAGCCGGGCAAAGGAGCGGCCACTGCTGCTGCTGCTGCGGGTGCTGCTCCAGGCGCGCCCAAACTGAGCAATCTTCAGAAGGTGCCAGCCAGCGTATCGCCAAAGCAGGTGGCCACCCAAGTGGGCCCTACAAAGATGGTCATCCCCCTGAGGGCTTTCATGGTGAAGGGCAAGGCCACAAGGCCCAAATCGGCAACGGTCAAAAAGTCAGCGCGGCCGCCGAAAGTGAGGTCGGCAAGTGCCGCTCAGTCGATGAATTACCAGTCAATGGAGAAGAAAGAGTCGGAGAAGAAGCTCAAAAAGTGGCCACCGCCAAAACTATCGAAGGACACCAAAAAGGTGTCCAAGAAGGGCAAAAAGAAGAAAAAGAAAACCAAAAAGAAGGGAAAGAAAAAGAAGTCTAAAGACAAGGGAGAGAAGGGAAAGTCCAAAGACAAGGGAGAAAAGGGAAAGAAAAAATCAAAAACCAAGACAAAGAAGACGTCATCCAAAAAGTTGACTTCCAAAAAGAAGTCCTCTAAAAAGTCCACTTCAAAGAAGTCAAAGCCAAAGAGCAAGAAAAAGAAGTCTTCGAAAAAGTCAAAAAGCAAGCAAACGAAGAGCAAAGAGAAGAAGCGCTCCAAGGATAAGCCATCTTCTTCGAAGACTCGACCCAAGTCTGTGGGCAAGCCAAAAATGATCAAGCCGAAGACTGTGGCCGGTGGTGGTGGTGGGCCCAGTACGACTGTGTCCGCTTCTAAATCGGTTCTCAGCAAGCCTAAATGAGTTGATCATCATTTGATCAACTGCTCACGTTGCATGTCAATTGTCGCCAGTTGACCAGATGTAGTGTACTAACAATTTATACAGATCATTATTGTCTGAGTTGTACCTCTTTATCGGGTAATAAAATGATCTATTTTTTGTGCACATTAAAAAATTGAAGAATTTAGTGTAAGAATTTTGATTAAAAAAACATAAACATTTGAATAGGGAATATTTAACCGGGTTAAATAATAAAAATTTGAATAATAAGGAAAGTCGATAAAGGATTTTGCCATTAGAAGTTGTATGAAAAATGCAAGTCAAAATGCAAGTCTCAAAATGCAGAAAGGGGTGTTCAGAAGGGTGTGAAGCTTGGCCAGACAAAGGTATTAGCGTTGTAGTGGCTACGCACTGGCTCCACCAAATCGTTGATAATTTTTTGATAGGTAGCGTTTTTGCCGATACTCGGATCTTTCAGGCAGCCCTTTAGGGCAATGGCCGAAATGACCGCCGCCATCATCGTCACCAGCTGATAGTCATTAAACCGGATCTTCACGCAATCGCTCAGTATGATGGCAACCATTAGCAGATGTTCATCGAGTAGCATAAGTAAATCTTTGGGCGGGGCACTCTTGCAGACCTTCACCATAATGGCGATCAGTGCCATCAGATTGTTTCGAAAGATTGAAAATTGACACTTGCAAAAGGAGATTACCGGCACGGTGATTTTTGTCTGTTCGTCTGTGCAGTAGAGCAGGCAACCGTGGTGAGGCATTTTAACGTTCTGAGGATGCTCCCAGATCTCTTTGTTGTAGCATTTGATCTCATTGAGCAGCGTCAGCATCACCGCCCAGACAGTGCTAGGCGGAAAGTTTTCCGCACCGACGGCGGTCAGTGCCTTCTTCAGCAGTTTGATCGACTGTGGAGAGTGCAGATAATTTTGCTCCCCCGGTGTCAACAGTAAGCCGAAGAATTTAGGAAGAAAAAGGCGACTTTTGAGAAGCACGCCGTCGTCCGCTTTCAGAGCTCCAACGAAGGCATCGAAGGAGGAGTTTAGTGTGTCCCAGGAGTTACTCTCCAGCAATTGTGCCAGTGTGGCTTCTACGTTTCGCATAGCTTCCAGTGTTTGATTTTGTTTCAACAGGAGCAGTTCCTTTTCAGTTTCCTGCATGATGGTGTTTTTCTGCCCGTCCTTCTGTCCCCCTGCCATTCCAACTGCCGTACCTAAAAAAGAAGGAAAACAAACTTTAGTTTTAAAGTTTAAAATTGGAAAATTATTAGACAATTTTGTTTACTGTTTATTTTTAACGAGATGCGCGTGTTATGGTGAGCGAGTGCCTTGCCAGGTGCCTTGAAATGCTGCCTTTGTATCGACTCATTTTTCATTGACGACAATTGCTGTGAAGATCATGCGCAAAATGGAGTGCATTTTAAATTTGAAAGTGCGTCACAAGTTCTGTATTTGGAAGTTAAAAAATTACAATGACACATTTTTGAAATCAATTTTGTACTTTATTTGAAGTATAGTTAATTTAAAAAATTGCAATTATAATTATAACAAATCAAGTTAAGTTTACTAAGCGCGTCTCATAAAAACACTTTGTATTATGTAAACATGTGGAATTCAAATAACAAATTAAAAACAATTAAAATATCACTGCAAATGATATTTTTGTACAAATCAATTGTGCAACTATTTGTGACAGTGAAA